AACATACAACTTTCCTCTAATTCTTAAATGCTTCCCCCCTCCCCCCTTGCCCACTATCATGATCCCAAGTCTACCTTAGAAATCCGGCTAGACCAGAGGATGTACACTGGTACGGATAGGACCTGGAAACACAGGGAATCCAGGACAGAAGATCTCTTCAGGACCAGTGCTGAGAGAGTGGCGATCCGGGAGGGTGGAGGGAAGGTGGGGTAGAAAGGGGGAACTGATTACAAGGATCTACATATAACCTCTTCCTTGCGGGATAGACAACAGAAAAGTGGGTGAAGTGAGACATCGGACAGTGTAAGATATGACAAAATAATAATTTATAAATTATCAAGGGCTCATGAGGATGGGGGAGCGGGGAGGGGGAAAATGAGGAGCTGATACCAAGGGCTCAAGTAGAAACCAAATGTTTTAAGAATCATGATGGCAACAAATGTACAAATGTGCTTGACACAATGGATGTATGTATGGATTGTGATGAGTTGTACGAGCCCCCAATAGAATGCTTTTTTTAAATGTGCTGAAAAACTCAGCTTATACATGAGTATATATGGTACATTATATACTGTATCATGAAAGACGAGCTACCAGTAAACCAAGTGCCACCTCGTCTCTTCGGTCTCATGGTGTCATCTTGAATGCCAAAGTAGAACTGTACTCTAGACGGTGTCTAATGGCCTAGCCTTTCTTCTGAGTTCTCTCTGGGTGGATCTGAACTCCAGTCTTCTGGTTAGTAATCAAGTGTGTACACCATTCATACCTCTCAAACCAAAAACCCAAACCCACTGCCACGGAGTCAATTAGGTTCATAGAGACCGTGTATGCAGGTTTCTGAAGCTATAAATCTTTATAGGAGCAGATCCTGTGGATAACAGTCCAATATTTACCTGACGGCATCACCAGAGCTCCTTATTTGTACCACACAGCGGCTCTAATAATTACAGCAGACTACATATATTCATGACAGTCTGTGGGTGGTGCAGACGGTTAATGTGCTTTACTTCCAACCAGAAGGTCAGAGGTTCAAGTTAACCCAGAAGCTTCTTGGAAGAAAGGTCTAACAATGTATTTTTTAAGAATCAGCCACTGAAAACCCTATGAAGCACAGTTCTCTGCTACAACTATTTATGAATTGTCATAAATTTGAGGATCAACTTGATGGCAAGTGACAACAGCGAAATATATACTTAAAACGCAGTTCTACTGAAAGTCACAGATCAAGTCTGTGGGAAGAACCCAATCTTGTTAGGGCATGAATCCAACATACAGTACCTTTTCCAAAACCAAACTTAATGTAAGCTTAAAGTCTGATAAAGTCCAATCAAGACAAAAATTTACTATAATTTAAAGCAATAAAGGTTACCAATTACCAAATTACTTTACTGTATTTTGAATCAGTTTTTAAAAGAATGGAAAAACTGGGTCAATCAATAATTAATACAGACATATTTCTATCTGTAAGAGGTCCTTGAGCGCCCTTGTGTTAACGATATTATTTACTAAAGAATACTGAGGGGACTAAAGGGATACTCATTCCTTCACTGCCAAGCAAGAGAACACAGCCTAAACCCTGCTTCTAAATGGTCTTTCCATGTGGCTCTTGGCAACCAAGTAAGGTCTGAATACGTAATGTAAGTAACAACAAAGGCTGCAGTCAAGACTGGCTTTGCAAATCTAGAAGGGAGATAGGGCATGATGTTTTTATATACTGACCATGCAAAGACCAAGCATATCAAAGCTATTGAATCAATTTATTTCTGAGAGTGTATGAGTGTATAATTACTGTCAATTACACCGATAACTTGTGTTTACCATCTTGAGTTTTTAAAATGTTAGTTTAACTGTGACAGTAAAATGGAAGTTGACTTGTTACAGAAACACTTTACTTTTAAGACTCAGATGTTAAATTTCAAGACCAAACTTTATTTCTGCTTTCCCAGATAATATATTACGCTCAAAATGTTGATTTTGTTCTCTAACTAGAGACAGGCTTACAAGAACATATCAATATACTAGTAAGCTTGTGTGTCTGAATTCTTTTCAAAGTGGTTCTCATGACAAATTTTGAAAACAGGTTAAGCATTAAATAAGTGCTAGTTATAATAAGAAAACTGTAATATCTACATACAAAGAATAGGACCTTAGATATAGTACTACTGAAAATATATTATAATTATATTCATCTTCAGTGACTATAACATAGCTATAAAGACTCCCCAAAAGTGCTCACTGATTAATTCAAGAAATGTCTAAAAGTTATCACTTAAAGTGATAACTTTAAAAATAAAGATTTCTCTAATTACAGGATAATTACCAAAAAAATGTTCATTCCATGTATGCCTATATTCAATCTTACTAGCAACAGCATAAAAGGTTGAAAGATGGGCTTTCTGCTTCACAAAGGTATGTGTGTTGCTCTTTGTTCTCTATGAATATCTCATTGGGGTCTAAAATCTCCATGTTTCTGTGTGTAAGCTCTTTAGCCATCACTGCCCTTCACGCCTGACTTTTCTTTCCCCAATGACAAAATGCCTTCCTTCCTCTCTGTAAAGTAATTGTGAACTACAAGTGAAAGGAAACAGCCAGTGGAGACGGTTTACTGCAACAACCTCAAAACTGCTTGCACAGGTGAAACACGCAATACAATTTAGACACACAGAGCTTGTTTCTTGAATTCAGGTAGGTGACTATTTTTATGGGTCACTGATTGCTGAAATATGAGGTTGCCTACACTATATCCAAAGTTAAGGAAGTCAAATCGTGCAGAAAAGAACTCGCAATGCTTTCAGCATCTTGCACCACCTGGGTGCCTCTATTAAAGTCAAACACCAGAGGTTTACTTTCGTATGGAATAATCTTCTATGAAATTTTAATGTAGCCTTTATTACTTCATTGTCCATAGCTCTATTGTTCCTTGCTGTACGTTTTGAAGACGTGGCAACAGTTTGATACAAGAACTGTATGGTCTAGTGTGTTCCCCCAGTAAGCAGCTGTTCATGAAGATAATACATTCAGTGACTGGTTTAGAAAGCAGGATTCTGAGATTACGGCTGGGCCTAGGCTTCTGGTTTGTGAACCAAAAAGTTACTTCCCCTTTAGTATAACGAACTACAGAAGTCTAGTTAAACAGCTGCACTGGAGAGCTTATTAGCAGGCATAGGACATGGGTGGGTGAGCAGAGATACTGATATATTTATTTATTGCTAGTAACCAAAGGACTTACAAATTTCATAAAATGAAAAGAACTTAAAAAAATTAATAAGATCTATTTCACAAATTACCAATCCAACTGGAACACTGGATCAGAGAAATGACAAAAGATTTATTATTATGGTTGATAAAAAATTTATGTCAGAGCATTCAAGTAAAGTTATTTTCTGTGTTCTGATTTAACGCGTCCCGTTGAGTTGTGTCCGGTTGGGTAACACAGATGCTGGCTCACTGAAGCCGAGGCTAATGCTGCCAGCACAGCCTTCCTTGGCACAGGGAAGGCAGAATTACCTGTCAGACTGAGAAATAGCAATGGAAGGAAAGCAGGGCTGGAGATGTTATGCAGTTTTCCCATACTACTTCTTGCTTGGTGAGTGTCTGGTAGGTATTCAGTGTCTTACGGGCTTCAATGGTGGTTTAATTCTATTGAAAGGCAGTTTTAAAAACCACTAGTGACTTCTTAAAAAATTAATACGTATTAAATACTTTATATGTGTTGGGCAGTGAGTTAGTTAATTGTGCCAGCCTGGCCAATAATCACATGTGGTGCTGGTTGAAAGGCGGAGGGATAAATGGGTGGTGAGCCTCGGCCTTTCTAGTTCTCGGGTCTCTTGTTTTGTGATGGTTGCATCGGGTGCAGCTGCCTTAGCAGTTCCCTGCTTCAG